ACACTTCACAGGTTTGATAACGATGCAGCCCTCAACAGCTCTATGCCAATTATGGGATGTCATCATATGGCGTTTCCATGGCAACAGTTCACTCGCCATGAAACACGGTGTCGCTGTTTCTCCTATGAAAAATGGTCCAAACGGCACCTAGACTTCAGATTGATGGCTAATGTCCGGCCCTCAACAGCTCCATGCCAATTATGGGATTGTCATCATATGCCGTTTCCAATGGCGACAGATCCCTCACCATGAAACAGGGTGTTGTTCTAACTCAATAGAAAAACGTCCAAACTGCATCAGACTTCAGATGATAGTTAATGGTACGGCCCTCAACACCTCAATATGACAATACTGAGTTTTTCTCAAAAGCTGTTGCCATGGCAACACATCCCTCGCCGTTATGCACGATATTGCTAGAACTCCTGTGTAAATGGTAAAAAAGTGTTCAAACTTCACATGTGGGCTAATCGTCAAGCGCTCGAGACATATAAGTGTCAGCTTTGAGATTTCGTCAAATTTAGTTGCTATGGTAACAAAATGGTCGCTGTGAAACACGGTTTTCTCATAACTCCAGTTAACATGCTCCAAATGGCACGAAACTTCACAGGTTTGATAACGATGCAGCCCTCAACACATCTAGGCGTATTATGGGGTGTCATGAAATGCCGTTGCCATGTCGACAGATCACCCGCCATCAAACACAATGTTTGTTTTACTGCTGTAACTCATATACATTGTCCGATCGGCCTGAAACTTCCCACGTTTGCCAACGGCTGAGTCCTCGAGACACCGAGACACACACGTCGAAGTGCGGACAACAGCCTGCGGAGCGTCGAAGGCCCGCTCAACGCTGCTTGCAGCTTTAATTTATATTAGGTCTTAACGTTTTTGCATAAATTAGGGCGTGGTCACTTTGATGGACAGGTACGTGCCTCACAGCTAACAGCAACTTGTCCACTCTGCTAGGCTACAACGTTAGCTAGTTGTAGTTACTGTACTAGTCTAGTCTTCTGTCTCAGTAGCATCATGTAACCTGTTTGAACCATCCTCCGTATTGGGTTTGTTTTTAATATATACATTTTATTAACCCTTTACTGCTGTCACAATCTTCATTCCAGCCATATATTTATTAAAGGTGGGGTAGGTAATTCTGGAGAAACCAGCTCGAGTGCGCTAGAATTTGAAAACACACAGCCGGAAAAAATCTGCCACTTCCTTACAGAGCCCCTCCTCCAACACACACGAACGCGCACATGACCAATGAGGGCACGAGATAAGTTTGGGAACAGATGGAAGGCTGACAGGCAGGTAGGCCATCCATTTATTTGAGCCGGGCCTTGTTAAAGCACTTAAGATATTCATTGCTATCAGGATGTTAAGAGCATTCCATGGAATATAACAAAAAGTGTATCTCGAGCCGGTTTCCCAAACTTACCTACCCCACCTTTAAATTAGCAGCAAAAATGCACTTGAACTTGGCCCCTCACCCTCTAAAATCCTCTGTGCCTGTTATATAACATATATCTGCAGACTTATGGGTGAAACGCTTACAAAGGTGAGTGAAGGTATTCACTTTTCGAACGTATTGTTGATCTATATAAAAAGAAGCAAGATAAGTCTCCAATTGAGTAAGGTAGGTGAAGACATCCAGGTACCGCATTTGCTCATTAATAAACATGACCATTTCCTCGAAAGCACACTACTTTACTTTAGAATAAAAACTGAGACTTTATCACAGAATTATGCTCCATACTCTACGCGCAGAGGAGCCTTTGTATAATCAGACGGCCTTCACAACTCAATCAAAGGCTTCAGAAAGGGATAATAACTTATCAAATGTAATGAGTCAACTGTTTGTGATCGCTGCTCAACGTCAAAACAAAAGGTTGACCGGAGATGTATCGTCATAAAGCTTATGGAACACAACATGGAAATTAAAACATTTCAAATTGAGTGATAACACCACAAAGAATTTATATGATTTTAGATTTATTATACTCTTATGTTGTGGTAGTGAAATAAATAATGAATGCGTTAAAAAGTATTTTACAGAAAACACAACAATTAAAAACATAATACTTGTATGTTTCAGACAGAAAATAATATGCAAATCAGAAAAACTGAGTCTGCATCCAAGACACACGGGGAAGATACAGTAATTCTGTTTTAAAAGTGCTATAAAAGTATTCAAATATACACACACACTCACACTCACACACAGTGGATAATGAGAAAGATATATTTCCATCAGGAAGAGTTTGAAAGTGGACACAAACACACTCCAAATTCTAAATCATTCATATAGCATCATAATTGCTAAATATATTTATCACTGTATCGATAATGAGTACGCCTAAAAAGAAAAGGTTCAGGTCATAGGACAGTTACCAAGTCTTTGCAGTAGAGAAGTGATATTGTCTCTGTAATAGTTAGCAGCCTTTAACAAACACCATTTCCCATAAGTCCATCATGGATTAACACAGACTAAACTTGGGGATCAAAGTTCAGTTTGTAGAGATTTGGCTTGGGGACCAAAGGGTCATAAATTCACTCCCGATCGGACCAAAAATATGGATGGAGATCTTTGCTTGGGAACCGAATCTCGGCATGGACCAAGAAATAAAAATGGTGTGGACTGGTAGCTGGAGAGGTAACAGTCAGCCTCCTGGGCACTGCTGAGGTGTCCGAGAGCAAGGCACCGAACCCCCAACTGCTCCCGGGCGCAGGAACAGTGGCAGCCCCTTCGCTCTGACACCTCCATGAGCTGGTGTGTATTTTCGGGTCTTGGTTTGTAATTGTATAATAACACTAGCGTGAACTGAATGATTAAAGGTAGTCTTAATCTTAATAGATTGAGGCAAGAAAGCAGCTTTCACAGGAGAGCTATTCCAGACGTGGCAGTGTGACAGCAGCTGGCCCAGAGCTGGAGTCAGGACTCTGTGAGTGTCTCCCCTGGAGCTGAGGACCTCCCATCTGTGCCCCCCTGAAGTCTCTGTTAGTGATTATCAACCACCCCTACTTAGTAAATAACTACTTAAAGTAGAGCATCAGGTAGCGTACCAGTGCCAGTAACTTCTTCTGAGGTCATGACTTTAGCGCTGTGGTTCTTTGGGGCGGGCTCCTGGAGGTCGACGAAGGCCTGCTGGTTGTGCTCCTTGTTTTCTTCCTCCTGCGTGCAGATAAACCTTTGCTTTTCCGTCGAGGAGGAGGCGGTATTTTCTTCTTTGTTGCGCTGTTGGGGGCCCCCAGGTGCTCAGAGAGTCTCCTCTGAAACACTGCCTGGAACTGCTGAGCCTGCAGAACAAAGATAAGAATGAGGAATTGATTTGAGGACAGAACGGCTGTAGTGAGTAAACTCGGCCTGTGTGGGGCTGAGTTAGGTTTTACCACAAATACTGAAATTATTATAATGGATTTTTGTTTTTGGAATTGAAGTAACATCTTCATTTATTTCCACCTTTGTGTTACACAACTTTATAACTCCACGGTATAAATGAATACTGTTGTTGCCTTTATGGAAATCGGAGACAGCATTTTTCAGAAAGCAGAAGAGCTGGAAAAAATATTCTTAACCCTAAACAGGTTGGAATGCCCCCTTTGATTGCTGTGTCTCTCTTAGATCAGTTATCCCCTGGTCTTCTTTCAGATTTGGTATTCCTTTGTTTTGGATTTGCCTAGGACTTCCGTGTCTAAGAATTGGAACCCATGAGGAACCCATGAAGAACACCACATCCTAGGACTAGATCTTTCTGCACACAAGCACTGAATCCCCACTACCAAAGACCATTTGTGAACAGAGATAGGGGTAACAACCTCGCCAACCACAAGATCTCAGACTCTGCTGAGGACCATGAGATGTGTTTTAAAAGCTATGTGACCTTTACAAACTATTACATACAGCCTTAGCTCAAAGGTCAAGACTAAACTGTAAAGCTCAAGCAGTAGAGGTCGTACCATGACCGTATGTGTGGTGGTCGAGGGTTCTGTGGTGGCGGTAGGGGGGGCTATACTGGTGGGAGGGGGGGCTGTGGTGGTGGTAGGGGGAGCTGTGGTGGGCTGCTGGCCCTTTGGTTTGTTGCAGTACGTCTCCAGATACTGGAGTCCACAGCCAGGCGAGCGGCAGCACTGCTCCACGATCCCCTTCCCTCTAGGCCGACCTCCGTAACCGGACCATGACCCTCTACCTGCAGAGAGAGAAACGTTCATCTTGAGATTCTTATCTTTCTTTAAAGCCTTCCTACTTAGGTCATTTAATTTAAACCATTCATGAAACCTTTTATCCTTTGGCATGCTTACCAAATTCTATCCTCTCTAGCAATAGTAATTACTAGGTCTGGAAATTGGTATTCAACTTTAAGGTTTTGACTGGTATTGAAATCTTATCCAAAACGATCTAAGAAAGTTCTATTAATACGGCGGTGCGCATAGCCAATACCCCAAAAGCGGACACTCTATTCTGCTTCGATGTTTTCTCTCTCCTGTAGTGTGTTATATAGGTTATCAAAATTTCCCTCCAGTGGGAGAGCCGTCCAGCTAACCAATCAGAGCAGACTGGGCTCTGGTTTCAGACAGAGGGTGAAAAGAGGTGCCCCACAGGCAGTATGAGAAAAATAAAGAGCTTTTTGAACATTAAATCATTGAGACACGTCACAGTAGAGACACTACTGAACTACATCGTCTTGGTCCAGGAGAGCATGTTGACAATATGGTAGCAATAAAGTTTAAAATGCATTGGGGCTCATGTCTACTTTGGTTTAGTACCACATTTCTGCAGAACATGACTTATCCTGGGTAAGTAGCAAATGCTAGCATACACGGTACAGAGGAGGCTAGCATTTGCTACTTACCCAGGATAAGTCATGTTCTGCAGAAATGTGGTTTGAGGGGCGCTCTGCTTCTCCTGTCTACACCTTCTCTGTTTGAAGTGGTTGGAGCGGTGCAGCTCTCAGATAGCAAGTGTTGCAACAATGTAGCTATCACACCGAGGCATGGTGTTCTGTGAGTACGCTGCCATTTTGGTGGATTGCCACCCCTCTGATAGCAGGAGGAAGAAGTTGGCCTTGGTCAGAATTGAGATAAAGGTAATCAGGTGAAAGGGCCTGTGGGTATTTATCTGTGTCCAATGGGAGATATTTTATTCTAGTAATAATAATACATTTTATTTGAAATAAAAGCTGCTTCACGGTAAAAGGTCCACTGTGGTGTGGCCTACATGAAGCACTAATGTACAGAACAATGCAATCAGACTTGGCCCAAGAAATAGATCCAACATTAGATATGAAATTGCATAAAAAGTAAGAGTGTGTCCTGTTTACAGCTACAGCCTGCAGCACGGAGGAGCAGTGTTGTGACTATCATTATGCAGGATGTGTTTTTTATTGTTGTTTAGCTGATAACTTGCGGTGTTTTCACATGGACTGATGACCATGGCCTTATCCTTGTTAGAATAACCTTCATAGCATTTTGGTCCTAATATCTTTTTGTAACTCTATTAAAATCTAGGGAAGAAAAAATATAAGCAAACTGCATTTATGTTATGTCAACCTCAAGTTAAATGTAGAGCTTATGTTTTTTATGTATTTCCCTCCATGTCGTTGCAGTGTGAACACAATAAAAGCGACATTGCTTATTGGAGCATGATGCATTATTGCTTGTTTTGTGAATGCAATGGAAAGAGGGAAAGACAACAAAATGTTGGTATGATAAAGTATTCATAGCTCAAATAAAAATCTGAGATTATTTTGGTTCCTATGCATGCACTTTATAGAGGGTCCCTAACATCAGTTTAAGGTTAGAGATCAATTTTGGACCATGCAAAACATTATATGTTAACAACCAGTTTGCAGAGGAATAATCCTAATCATTTTGGTGACCTCCTGACCTTTAATGCCACAATAACACAGTTTAGAAAGGTATTATGGAACATTCTATACTAAAGACATGAGTCCTTATGTGAAAAAGGTATATTACATGAATATAAACGTACCTAAATAGATTCCACGATCCCCGCAGACAAACATTAGGTCCTTGAGCAGATCAGAGCCACAGCGCAGTTGGCCTGCCTCTGAGGCCAGGGGCCAGCCTGCCAGACAGATACACATCCGGACACACAACACCTGAGGAGGATGAGGAGGAGGAGGAAGAACACCTTTATACACCTACACACAAAGCCTATAACACAACATTAAGATTCATGTGCTGGTGACCGGGGGGGTTGAAGGGAAAGCCAGCACACATGCCTTTGCAGCTTGACTGATGGATGAATGCATGTAGGCAAAAACACTTTTAACTATACATTTGATAATAATAACTTCCAAATGCTTTCCTGCACCCAAACGGAGATGGAAGACAATGTGTGATGCACAAGTAAAATGTATGACTAACTTATTGCGGCCAAAATATTATCATATTTTGCTCAGTATGCAGATGTCTCAGTCCGGAACATGTCCTTTGTATCGTTACGCCGAATTTGAGACTGCCAATTAATTTTCCAGATATTTATATTTTCTACTGATGCTTTTATAATAGATCTATATAATATATACCCCACCCCCCTCAGCATATGGAGACAGGTGTGCCAGACCTGGATTCATTTTGTCCAAAAGCTGAAGTCCTTACAATGTTTTGTAAACAATGTTTTTGAATTACCCGTTTTGTCAGAGAAACTGTCCAAAAGGTTTACGAAGAGATGAAGAAATGCTTTACTTTACGGCTGCATTAATTTCTGATTATTAACACATTTTATGGGAATGCCTCTTGGTAGGGCAACAATAAAAGCACAACTCTGAGACCTTTCTTTGTGTTAATCAGCATTTTTGGATTTGCAGGCAATGGTTTACCGTTGCTTGATTCATTATGCACATTTCATACACAAAGGCAACTCATAGTGCTTTACATAAGCATTTACACACAATACAAATCAAAAACCAAGATCTGAAAATATATATGAAGGCAAATAACCTCGAAAGTCCTGTTTGGTTTAATTCCCATAGATATATATATTCATTGTTTGTATATTGTTGGAAACTGTTTTGCCTGTATATCTTGATTTATGGAAAAGTTACATTTTCTGACTTTCTAGAAGTAAACAATACAACAAAAACAATAAAGACTTCTCTCCATAATCATCTTGGCCAGTGAAAACAAAAAGATAGTTTAATCCAATACAGCAGCATTTACAATGCACTTTATGGTTTAATGAACTTATTAATTGCTTTTGATAACAGCTAAATTAATTGTAATTGAATGCCATATTCCCTCTTATCAAAACCTAATTAATTTACAATACAAATCAGATCATTTTTAGGGATTTGCAGAACATCTGCTGGTTCCATTAAAAGAACGGTATGCAGATAGCTGGAACACACTGCTTACATTTCTAACAACAAATCGAATCGACGACTAGACGGCACTACAACCTGTCAGACACAGCTCAGGGAACAGAGTGGAAGTGGGTCTTACCTTCAGTGTGTTTGCTGTGGGAGAGGAGAAGCTTGAGGAGTGCATACTGTCTTTGTGGACTGACTGAAGGAGACCTTCAGTCTTATAGCAGCAGGCGGGGGGGCGGGTCACAGCTGGTTCCTCCCTCACCTCCCTCACCTCCATGCACTCCACAGTGATTCACACTCAATCTCATCTGCAGCCTCTATCAGATTATTTAACACGTAGTCTCTGATGATCTACTCTGTGTTCCTTACGTGTGTAACAGGATATTCATCAGTGGCACAAACATTATGTTCAATTCTAACTGCTGGAACCAGAGGTGGAAGATGTACTCAGAACTTTTACTTGAGTAAAAGTAGAAATACCACAGTGTATGAATACTGTTACAAGTATTCCTGTAGTCAACATTTGATTCAAGTAAGAGTTCAAATTAATAGGATCAAAATCCACTTAAGTACCAGAAGTAATAATTATGTGTCGGCATTCCAGAATGATATAAATGATATCACTGGATTAAAAATAGGTATAATCTACTTTAAAGAGCAACTTCCAGGTTAAAGACACCTGTGAATAAATTTGTAGGAAAATGATGAATACACTAGATTTTCAAAAAAATATACAGAAATATACACTACAGTGACATCTGGCGTCGTTTTTGTAAGAAATGTTCACTTCCGCATAAAAAAGCCTCGGCACGTGACCTCCCGCGTGTGACGTAACACGGGGGACACAAGGGGGAGAGCGGCCGGTGTAACGTATTAATAAACATGGATCCCAATGCTA